TTGGATGCCAATGAAAATTCACAAAGTGAACAAGATGTGGATTTGCAGCTACCCAGATTCTGATTTTCAAGGTGAGTGGCCATACAAACATTTAAATAGGTAAATGATTGAGACAGAACCTTTTTGTGGATGATAATTTGTAGGTATAACTGTAGATACATATACCTATTATTAATGAATGCAAACTAAAATTGTTGTTTGTGATTCAAGTCAAACCTACCCACTCCAACATTTTGTCCTCAGAACAGCCAACTGGGTGCCAATGAAAATTCACAAAGATTACAACATGTTGTGGTTGCAACTGCCCAGAGTCTGGTTTTCAAGGTGGGTGGCCATAAAAATGTTTTGGATAAATAAATTAAATGAGATAAATAAATGAATCTTTCTGTAGACGAAAGCAATTGGAATTGACAGGCTTGTTACTAATACAGAGGAAAATCATGATTTAATAGCCTTATATTCTATGAACCTCTAATCTGAAATTAGAGAATGGGCTGACATCTGCACTACATTTTCTGGTAGCAAATGCTCTAGGTTGAGCTTTGCTTAAACTCTCTCCATTCAATTTAATTGAACAACAAAAAGAAATAAAGTTATTCTCTATATTTATCAGGATTATTTCTCTTTTTTTCCCCCAGAAAAATATTCAGAAAATTTATATGACTGCTCACCCAAAACAAATAACTTTTGCTTAAGATCTGCAGGTTAGAAGTCCTAGACAGATATCAGCAAGACTCCAAAGGATAGATCTGCTACATTGCCAATTTATATATGAGAAACCTTGGTTGAATATCAACAAGAAGTGGTTAATAAAATGGTGTGTATTATCTTTCAAGGTCTGATTAGGTCTCCTATTCAAAACTTTAAGGAAATACTTTATCTAATATGTTTCTGGTGAAAAGAAATCCATCAACATTAAACAAGAAAATTTACTGGCAAAGATTAATAAGTATGAGTATATTGCTCATACATTATCAGCATTTCTTCTTTCCTATCTTGCATAGGTTAAAGTCTCTGGCACATGTAAACATTTTGAATAACCATATTAGAATGTAAACAGTACTGCTTTCATTTTGCTTTATTGTTATGAACTTTAAAGAAGAAAAGTAGGGAGAAAGTCACGTCATACTTCTACACACATTGACCTTTTTAAATTCATTCCAACCCAGCAGGATGTTGGAAATGAGGGGCTCAAGATTTTGTCTGCATTTCAACAACACAACTCTCAGAAAAATGACCAGAGCAGGCTCAGTTTGGGATTGAGAGACAAACTAGCAAAAGAAAAATCAACTCTGAAAATAGGATAGGTCTAATGAGGGATGGGGGCTACAAAGGAAAAAACAATCTGAAAAAGTTTCCCTACTGCATTCTTATGGGTAAAGAAGCTGGACAGAATCAGAATGCTGGTGATTGTACCCACCTGATCAACATTCTTGCTATTCTTTCTTGCTCATGTGATCCAGAGCAAAATGAATGTAGCTGCCTGATGCTTCCCAGTGTACACATAGAAATACTTAGGTATAATATAAGGATAGAGCAAAAACATACCGATGTAACATGTTACTTTATTCTACAGAAGAAATACAGATACAATACCTCCACTGGCCATGCTAGCAAAGGATTAGAAAGAGTCTCAGAAGTCATGTCATGCCATGCTTGCTCAAAGGAAGGGAGGGAGGGAGGAAGGGAGGGAGGAAGTTTTCCAACCCTCACTGCCAGCTTCATTCTGGCAGAGAGAAAGTCAAAGGGGAACCTTGCAAGGAAGGTTGCAACCTATGTGAGTAAGTCTCCCAACTCAGGCACTATTCTCCAGTCCTTTTGCGCTTGCCCAAACAGGTTATAGGTTGTCTAGTATTTTGTCACAGGGATATCCTCATATCCCCAGCTACCATAGCAATTGGTACTAGGTTTGGAAGGCTGATCTAGGCTGTAGCAGAAGTATTTCCTCTTGTTACTTTGTGAGTTTTGTAAAAGGTGGAACCTTCCAAAGTCATTCTTAACATCAAACTACAAATAAATTCAGTTTTTAAAAGAATGTTGATTCTGATAATGTGAAGGCATAACATGGAAGATTGTGGCACTCCTTTAAAATAAGTCTTTTGCAATGCATGGGAATTCATACACAGTATTTCTTTTAATCCATTAAAGTACTGTAATTGTGTCTTTTTTCCAAACTCATAGGGGTTCATTTTTTCTCAAATGATCATTTTTTCCTAGATCATGAGGCAACTGTACTAACCTAGAAAAAGATATAACTACTTTAATGTTTTGCTTCTTGCACTTTCCTACTATACCATGAAGCACATTTTTAAAAGTTAAATATTGCCCTACTATAAAAAATATTGATTGTTCCTATGGATAACATACAAGACAAAATTCTAACTCTACATGAAAGCTAAAAACTACTTTGATAGACATGGCTACCTTGCAAGTCTATTGTTTCTTTCTCTCCTCATACTTCAGTAAATTAAGGAGGCATGTGTCTGAGCCACTTCCAAATATTATCTTATTGCTTTGGATTTTAAAAAAATGTTTCAGCCACTTTTGCCTGAGTAACAGTTCCTGCATTTCTGTCTGGCTATCTTCTGTACACCCTAGCCTTACTCTCAGTATTCTTATGCATACTAACTCTTTGACAACAGGAAAGGGGCAGAAATTCTCTGGAAAGAGGGAATCAGATTTCTGTGGTTGCTTTAGTGAATATAATCGTATGTAGGAATGACCTCCGGTAACATGTAGAGAGGAAGGGAAGAAATGCTAAAGGATCTTATCCTGTATTACTGCTGTGCTATGGAATAGCACCTTTTCTGTTTTCTTTTCCAAAGAAGTTCCGCTTTAGCCAAGTCCTAATCAATTAATAACTGACTTTCCTCTATGAGACTTCTTTTGTTAGCTTGCTTTATTTTGGAAACCACCTATTTTTATTGCTACTCAGAAGAGCAGCCTACCAATCAAATAAAATCTCTTAGAATCTGTTGGATCAAAAAACTCTATATTAGAGGAGTGGGGGAAGGGAAGGGGATGTAGGGAAGGGGAAGGAGAGGAGCATGAGGAAAGTTGAAAAGGATTGTTGGAAGAAACATCCATCTGGGTTCTGCTCCAAGTGGGGAAACAGACACTGGAAACATGGAGACTGCTTGGAAAGATGGTTTAATGGTGGACAGGATCACATGGCTTGAGTTCCTGAACAGAAAAGGGGCAGATACAGTAAATCCTCGAGTTTTTATGCTCTCTCTGGCTCTGCATTTCTTGGGGGCCCGAAAGAGTATCCTGATTGGTTGTCAGACTCCCAGGGGGTGGGGGCCTTGCTGGCTGATGATCACATGTGCTTCCCAGGTCACATGTGGTGAGTTTCTGCTGCTATTGTGTAGAGGGCTAATCCTATTTTTGGCAATTCCTACTATGGCTCTGCCTGAAGGAGGCAGATCTTTGTTATGTAGAATAGATTGGCCCAGGTCTTAATGGCCCATTGACAAAGGGTGGGGGGCAGGAAGGTGGGAGCTGCTTTGTCTGTAAAATATGCTTCTCATATTTCTCATCCAGGGAAATATAATATTCTGCCTTTTTCATATTTCCTAAAATATTTCACTCTTCCAGGAAAGGGGTGGGTGCTAACTTCCTACAGGATAAAAGTAGAGAGGAAAGAGAAAAGAAAGAGAAGGTTGTTGTGGTTTGTAGAAGAGATGGAAGGATAGAAGAGCAGTCTAGAGTATATCTTATACCAATTATTTAAGACAGAAAAATGAATTAATATGGACTTCAAAGATAATATGTATGATTGATACTGGTTAAGAGTTTATATATGTATGTTTATGAGAAATAAAAATAGAAACCTTTTAAAATTAAAAAAACTATATTAGTGGAACATTGGATTCAGGCAAAAAAAATAATGAAGCGAGCCTGGAGTTGCTCTTTGCTTAATTCCCAAATATTCAAAGTTACTTTTTTAAAAAAAACAGTTTTATGGTTAAGGCTTTGAGCAAATTGGCTCCTGAGCTAAACATGCAATTCGAGGCATTAGTAACTGCGGTTTCTTTTTTCATAGGGCCTTAACGGATGGGCTGACATTACCCTGGGAAAATATAATAGAGATGTGAGTCAAATTTAAGAGGGCCAGTTTGGTTTTGTGGTTAAAACTACCTGGATTAGAAGCCAGGAGATTGTGAGTTCCGTTTTGGGCCAGGCATGCACTCTCTCAGCCTTAGGAAGATGGTAGGGGCAAACCCCACTTCTGAAAATGTTGCCAAGAAGATTGCCTGGACTTGACCTAAAGAGGTAGGTCACTCAATGAACCATAGAAACAACAGTTTCTTCATTAAAGAGGGCCTACAGTGTGTGTAAACATGGCCAGACATTGCATTTAGAACAACTGCTCTTTGGTAGTTTATTTCTCTATGAGCAAGGTATATCCACGAACACACCCAACTAATTTTCTGAGGCATTCTTTATAATTTGCTGTTCTGTGGTGCATGCTCTTTAATAAGAGCCACCTCCTGACAGCACAGGGTACTCACCTTTCCAGTCACAGCAGACTCATGCAAAAGCAATGCATTCGGCACTCAGCAACCAAGAGGTAACAGGGAGGGCAAAGTATTGTTAGGTTTGCTGTTTAAAGCACCGGTCCAGAGAGGAGTAAAACTGTTGTCAACTTTGCCAAAAGGGCAAAATTCTGTGACCAACAGAACCCTTTCACTGACAGCTTCTGCTTTTGTGGTTCTGTCTATTGTTAAAAACTGAAAGATGGAGAAAAACGGGATTCCTTTGAACAACTCGTTTCTAATGCTGAAAGAAACCTAATAACAATGCCCCTGTTTGTTAAAGATGAGATTACTGAGAAGCCTGAGAGATTGAAAGCAAACAAGGAAAAGCTAGTTGAGAAATTGGGGAAGTGTGTTTGTATATAATTTACATAATTCTCTGACCAATACCAAAAGAAAAAAAAATGCACCAAAGCTGAAAGGAAGAAAGAAAAGATTGGTTGCCTATGTTGCAAGAGGATCAAGGGGGAGTGACCGATGAAGAAAAAGCTCAAAGTAGGCTATTCATTGGAACAGTCAGAAGAGGCAAAGAGTAAGAGGGGATTTGAGACAAACCTAGGAAGCCTTGCTGTAACAGGGCAAAAGTGCCCTGTGCCCGGCTCTGGAATGATTTTCCATTTTCTGGGTTACACTGTTCTGGTCCTGTTATTGGCATGCTTTACTGCTGTGGCTGGTAAGTCAAAAGTTTAAGTAGATATAGCATTTGATAATAGCAGTATTGGGGGGAATGGAAAAGCAACATTTAAATAGACAATATTTAAGCATAGATATTTTTTTTTTAAATGGAACCCTAAGCATTCCAACATAAAGATACACATCAGTTTTAGGCACTCTAGAGGAATTATTTTCTAGTTTTCGGTGTGGAATTATTGGAATAGTTTGAATCTGCTTTGATTTCAATAAAATTCTGTCTTGTAATCTTCACTTAGTCACATATGAAGTTTGCATTATCTTGTTAGATTTGCAGACTCTAACCTATATACAAACATAACAAAAGCAAAAAGTTCAGGTATTTGGACATGAATGTTTACATTATTTTTATCATTTTCTGTCCTGGATTAATCCAAAACAAATTTTTGAAGTAATTTTCATTGCCTGTAAGGAAATTAATAATACAGTCAGAAATAAGAAAAATAGCACAAATTTGTTCATGACTATTTAGAAGTAAATCCCATTGGTTCTAATGGACCTTATTTGTTAAGTATGCATAAAAGTGCAACATGTACTGAGCTATAATTAAATTCCAAAGGCATACTGGCAAGACTGATTTTTACTAAACGACACAGAGTGTAGTCTTAAATCTAGCACTAGCTAAAAATTGCAGTCATTGCTATTAAAAGAAATGGAGGAATTTTTCATGCAACTTTATGCAATTAATGAAATATTAAAATTAGCCAGATTATTTCATTGGATGCCTACATACTTACCTGAGAGTAAGTCTAACCAAAGCCTGTATGATTAATCTTGACTTGATGCATATAGAATTTTCTTGCTGAAAAAATCACACAGTAGAATTCTAAATCCACAAGAGAGTTGTCCTTCTTATTGTTTTTGGGAAAATTAAGTTGAAATCAATATTAATGTATTACATTATAAGGACCTGTGGTAGATATTTCCTTGTTTGTGATTTATTTAGTCTTCTATCATATTATCACTGAGAACAATAATGAGGACAGGCTTTATATTAATTGCCTGACTGATGACTGGATGCTACTGGAAGACCATCTAAACTTCTAGTGAGAAAATGACTATAGCATCACATATAATTTTATTTTGTATTATACAGCTGCAGTTCTGTATTCATTCTAGTAAACTTTGAAAGGACATTACATTGATATTTTTTCTACTTTTGTGATTTGTTTATACAGATGCAGCTACATTACAATAAAAAGTAAAACATCTGTATTATTTTATTTCTCTGCCTGCTCAATATCAAATATTTCTTATATGACAAGCAGAAAATTACTAGACAACTGACAATATGTACTGATTTTTTAAATATAACATGGCTTTTTAAAACGTATGTTCCTCCTACTGGATAGTAAATAGCTATTTCAAGAATTTCCACCTTTCACATCCTCTTGAAATATTTATTCTCAAGTTTACATGTTTGTTTCATTAGATCCAACATAGTTCTAAACTGTATCAGTTATTGTAATAATAGCAGAGGAAAAAACCTGATTTCAAGAATGTATTACTTATACAATGCTTCTGGAAATGGGCATCTGTAATTATTCCAAAGTGAATGTATGAATTTCCACTCCTTTTGGGTGGTTGTTGGGGAAGTAATCAATAACAATCATAGTCACAGCTATAATGCCTGAGTGGCTTCTGGGTTTGAGAGCTGCCAAGTAGAATGTCTACCAATTCTTATCTTTTTTAGATGACTTATACCTGTTGACGAAAAAATTTTAACAAGAGGGGGGAGGGGTCAAAGGGATGTTTCATCTCAAATCCAGATATTATTCTCTTCATTATCTCTTCTTATTGAGATAATACACCATTATTTCTCTTTTAGAACCAAAGGTTAAATTCATTACTTGCATGAAATCAATCACTGTATAGATTAATAGAAGTACATAAACACAAGAATAATTTGTCACAAATTACTCTCTCTTTCAGTTCTCATAGACTTACTTAGAAAATGCAATATTTTGCTCTATAACCCAACAACCAGAGAGGTTTTTTTAAAAAAACCCAATATATATTAAACTTGACACAATTTAACAACCAATGGCACAGTCTTTCTGCTTCTGGGCTGTGTTTTTTTTTTTTTTTGGACATTCCCCTTGCTGGCCAAGATCCAAATCCTGTTTGGTTACTCACTGCTTCTTTCAGTCACAATTCATTCCCCAGCTATCACACACTGGGCAATCCTTATCGTCTTGACCTCAGTACTGTTTCAGGTTGTCATGCTAAGGGGATATCCTTCATGGATGGAAATTGCCTGCCAATCTATCATTCTTGAATTCCAAGCTGCAGGTCGGTGTGCAGTTAGGGCACATGACACTACCATACTGTGTTCCTTTCCTTTTGCTCTTAAGCAATCCTTCTGTCACTCTCTTAACTGGAATGTTTTGTCTTCTGCGTCCCTTTTCTCTTAAACTGCCTTGCTTATGAGTGATCTTTCATTTTAAAGCTTTCCCCCCTTAATCTTGAATAATCCATCCATCTCACTTAAATTGCTGACTGCATTTTGTTAATGCAGCCTGTAAGCAGGGAAAATGGCTGAACTAATCATAATGCCACATATAGATATTGTTTCCCACAACAGAGCTGGAATAACCAAGTTACAATTAAGATGACACATGTGAAAAGAATCTTGAGGTCCCAGAAGCTAATAACCTCTGATTACTAAAATATTCAGTGTATATCCTATCAATACAGATGTTGAAACTGTTGGGCAGTATTGGGGTTTAGGGTTTAGTGACTGTGGTCTAGCCAATAGATTTTCTGATGTTTCATCAGCAACCCTGACCGGCATCTTCAGAGGCATGGTACACAGACCAGAGGCAGCTGGGATGGGACTGACTGGCCTCTTGTCTTAATAGCTAGCTATAACGAATTCTGGCTGGTCTTTAGTTGAGCTGAGTTCTGATTAGTGCAGGTTGAGTAGGCCATTGAGATTCTTTAAAATGCTTTTTGCAAACATGCTGGTGGTAGATGGAATATGGCTGTGTTAAGTGTTGGGGACAGGACTAATCCATGCATGTCAAACAATATTTTAATAGGAAGGAATCCATTTATGTTCTATGAATGGATACAATGTTATAAGTAAGGTTCTAACAGTTATTAGTTGCTCATTAAATGTTCTTAAGGATAGTACAGGTAGTCCTTGCTTAATGATCAGTCACTTAGTGATACCTACAACTAGGTTCTGGAGTTTTGATGGTGCACACACTGGCATGGACACGGACACGGACACGGACACACACACACACACACACACACACACAGAGAGAGAGAGAGAGAGAGAGAGAGAGAGAGAGAGAGAGAGAGAGATGACTGCATTTCAACACTTGGCAACTGGTTGTAGTGTTCTGCGGTCACATGACCCAATTCATAAATTTTTCCAATTTCTAGCCTTCTCATCTGGTTTGTAGCAAAATGAATGGAGTTGCTTTATGACCGTAGTGTTCACTTTATGACCATTGTGTTGGTTTAATGACCACCATAAAAAGATTGTAAAATCAGGTTGGTCATGTTGGTGTCTTGACTTTCAACTGTGATGATTTACAAGAGAATTTCTGGGCACTATTACAGTCATAAGTTGAGGACAACCTACACTAAAGGAGGAACGTCTGACACTTTCAAGGAGATGTGGGTTTTTTTCTGTATATAGTTAAGGATTTCAAGTTGAAATGAAGTAATCTGCTGGTAGGTTTTCTGAAAAAGAGCATTATTTCTTCATTCAAAATGTCTTTGAAAATGTTCTCATTGTGTGTGCAAAAAAAAAAATATGAAGCAGAGTAGAAAAGAACATTTTGTGAAGTAGAAATGCCATTTAGCATAACCCAAGTTCAACATCATGGCTAGTCAGTGAAGCAAATTAAATAAAATTTTATGAATTTAACATTAAAAGATAATTCATTGAGTATAGGGAAGGGGTTGGTATTCCTTTCTTCAAGAAACAAAATTCTATCATTATTACTATGAAAATATGCTTAAAGGTACCTGGTAAAAAACTTGAGGCCTAAATAAAATTCCTCTGGGCTGAGCTGGGCTGGTCTGGGCTGAGGCTGCAGCATATGCAGAGGTATGGGTATATATATAACTGAAGACACAACTATAACTAACACCGTTGCCATCCTATATTCTCCACAATTGCCCTGTGAGATGAGTCAGACATAGAGACAATGACTGGTCCAAACTTACTTAGCTAAGACAGCTAAGTAAGTTTGGACCACTCATTGTCTCTAAGTCTGACCCATCTCACAGGGAGATTTCATGCCTAATGAAGCCTAGAACTCACAGTCTCCTGGTTTCTAGGCCAGCACCTTCACCGCTATGCCAAACAGACTCTCTTGATCTCGCATCTTGATAAATTATTGAAATTGTTAAGGGAGATAAATGAAAATTAGATCTTTTTTTTAATAGTAGTTTCAAAACAGACCTCTTAGTTTTACTGGGTATCATTTAATGTAGGGGTGTCACACTTGCGGCCCTTGGGCTGGATGCATCACGCGCTGGCCATGCCCACCCCCGTTTTAGCAAAGGGGGGGAAATTCGCAATGCATCATGTGATGACAACCCCTTATTTAATGTATCTCTTAGAATAAGCAATTTGGCTATATGATACTGAATTATCATTTTTAACAGCCAAAACCTCACTCTCTTTGAAACTGGTGCCATTTTTCTCCTTTCTTAGAACTATATTTTGTGAGTTCCTATTTGGATTTGACTATTTGAACAACTACTTGAGTAAAGTCAGTTTGATGTAGTGGTGCAAGCTAGAAATTGGGAGCATGTGAGTTCTAGTCCTGCCTTAGACACGAAACCAACTTGGCCAGTCACTCTTGCTCAGCTGTAGAAAGAAGGCAATGGCAAACCACTTTCAAAATCTTGCAAACAAAACTGCAGGAACTAGTCCAGGCAGTCATTATAAGTCAACAGTAACACAAATCTACTAAAAAAAACAAAACAAAAAACAGATAACAAAAAAGATCAGAAAAT